TTGTGTAAAAATAAAGTTTTACTGTAAAGCACTATCTAGTCAATCCAATGTTTACATTTCAATTTACTGTTTATAAACCTCATAGGTTTTATTGATCATGGCCTTGCTGTCATCACACGTTAGCTGTATAATTTCATATTGAACTGTACTGTATGACAAATTATTTCCCATGAGTAACTTTATTGTTTGAACAATGAACATTGCTCTTCAGAATTCATTTCAAGAGCTACAGCTTGCAGTAACACAATTTCCTCTCAAGTACAAGCAACGGAGAATGGGCACAGAGGCCCACAGCAAAGACCAGCTGTACAAACTCTTCAGTGGTGAATATATTCCCATAGCTCCGGTGAGACAGAGCAGGAAAGAGAGAGGAGATCTAGGTCACACACACTGTAGCCTTCCCCACCTTTAGAGAAAACAGAAATAGACAGTAGGTTCATCTACAGACCCTTGTTATTCAGCATATTGGAGAGTATACTATCGACCAGTGAATAACAAGTGTTTATTACTAAAAACTTTTGAAATTCTCTTTCACTTGAGAGGAATTTTTGGAAAAATAATACCTTCCAGGCATTGCATACCTGATCTTTTACTGCTAATTGAAAAATGTGTGTAGAATGTGAGAGGGTCAAGATGAATGTGCCAAAATGGCCTAAGGTGGAGGAGAAAGTAATAGTTGCTCTCTGGGCTTTAGCTAGATGGCTTCACTCATACAAGTAAAATCTAGAGACCTTGCTTTGGGATCTTAATTTGTAGTGAGAAAGGCCATTGTGGAAACTGGATATTACATAGTGAGAGTGAATACATGTATGCAATAATAACAAAATTTCCCCTTGTTGTTTTTGTGCATTTCAATTTTGTGAACCACACAAACATAAGTGTCCCTGCTCTGATGTATCTACTCAGGGATACAACTTGCATCATAAGTATTGTTGGAGAGTCCTAGTAATAAAATGTTGCTAATAACATGGATTTAAAGTACTATATATAGACAATCAATATATGTTTTAGCAATGCTGGCACAGTGGCTCTAGGTATGGCATGTTGTTTGGCCGACACTTGGATCTAATTAGGAAATGTTAACATGCTCATACAGTACTGTATATACTGGTGAACATGGTAAACATTATATTTGCTTAACATCAGCTTAGCATTGTTATTTGATATTAGCACTTAACTCAAAGTACCTAAGAACAGCTTCATTCTGAGTCAGGTTCTACAGTCAGACATGAACCAATCAAAACTGCATTCTATCTCCTATCTTTTATACTGAGCAGTTAACCTTCCGAAAACTCTAATCCATAACACAGCTCACTCCAGAGTCACATTTATGAAAATAAATAGAGGTCAGGTCCACTGACACCTATAAATGCTTTGCGAATAGGATCAAAAAATAAACCAGAATAGTCGAATAGCATGTCTAACACATTTCAAGTGTCCAGAGGTAGAATTGTATCACCAAAAAAGGTTGCCAGATTGTTCTTGACTCCCATTCAGACTTTCCAGCGTTTATTCTTGATACCTGTGATTCCTGATTTTGACCCCAGATAGCCTTGACCACTGATTACCGCCTTGCCCTCCTGGACTGATTGTGTCTCGTGTATTGACCTTCAGACCTCCCTGTCTGACCTCTCGTTTTTGGATTCCTTGGCTGTGTGTGTTTGCCGGCATTGAACTTGGACTGTTGTTTGATTTGGAGTGTGTCTTTTACTGCAGTGTCTGCTCTTTACTGAGTATAAAGAGAGAACTAGCCACTCACTCTCATCTGGCATTATAATTGAGTCCACCATTAGCATTGCTGGTAGCTTTGCTGGCCACCACTGACAGACTGTTCCATGAAAGCATCCTAATGTATTAAGACCAAAGATATAGGACAAGAGGAAACAGACAAAAATGAGAAAGGAAAAGAAGATTACATCACCAGGTTGTAGCAGTAAAGGCTTTGTTGTGCTGTACCTCTAGATTTTGAGTTATAAATATATAGGCAATAACACATTAAGGAATAATGACCTTATATTCAAACTCCAACTCCAGAGAACTAATCTGTCCTTTTTAACCATCAGTATGGTGATGTTTATAGGCCCTACCTGTCTGATTTCATATGCATCCACTCCTATTATCAACATATTACAGTATTTAATTTACAAGCATAATCCATGGAGAGGGGTTGTTTTTATTTGCATAGCAAACATTAGTATTATTTCTATCACAAGCTACACACTATATATTCAAGGTTCAATCTGTGATCAGTCTTAAAAAGAGTACAAGTTGCCATTACACTCAGCTGGAGATTTTTCTTGCCATTGTCTGTACCATTTTACACTTTGGATACACTATAACATAAGCTTGTATTCCAGTATTCAAACAACTCAAAATTCGTACAGTACAAGTTTTACACAATGTACCATTTAGTC